TACTGGTAGCCAGATCGGTTTGTTTCCTTAAAAAAAATGCAGTTTTGTATAAAACTCCCATTTTTTTATGTCTTGGCTCAGTTGTTTTTTTAATTAATGAAAACTCAGCCTTGATTGAATAGATCCAGTCACAGAGATACCACTGTTACACACAGCAACTCACTCCATGTTTTCCAGAGTGTCACTTACGGAAAACATTTGTGTTGTCAAAATCTAATTCTTAGCTACTTCCAAACATTGCCTTAAATCTGCATTTAGGAAATACAGTATGAATCAAAGCCTGTCCTCCCCAACAACCCTTGCAAAATTGGAAGATAATGAGCAAGTTACCACCAGAGTATTCACTTCCAGGTCAGGCACAGTGTTACTCCAGCTGTTGTTCAGTATCCTGGCGTTCTCCTCTGGGTCAGTTACAGACTAGAGTCATTGCACCAAAGTCCTTCACAACACTCTAGGTATATTCTAACCAGTGCAAAGGGCCTTTCCTCTTTCTGTTTAAAGTCTGATATTGTCTCACTCTTTCTATTAAACTGATCATGCATCATTAGTACAATCACAGATTGCCTAAGTATCAAGACTAGTTTTTCCACTTTTTATCTGTGAGATTAGGCATCCCACTAAATTACTTTGTGCCTTACTATCTTTATTTGTAGAACAGGGACAATAACAGCATTTCTCATGGAAATGGCATAAGGGTTAGCATAGGTAAAGTGCTTAGAAGTATGTCTAGCACATAGTAAATGCTAGGAAAGCATTAATACTGGCTGAATGTCCTTTATCCAAAATGCTTGGAACCAAGTGTTTCAGATTTGGGATTTGTTTTTAAGCATTTGATATATTTGCATATACATACTGAGAGAGCCACATACTGAGAGAGCCTTGGAGTGAGACTCAAATCCAAACACAATTTATTTATGTCTCATAGACACCTTATACACATAGCTTGGAGGTCATTGTATACCACATTTTCAGTGCACCTTTGTTCTTACTGTAGCCTATAGCATGAAGACAAGTGTGGGATTTTCCACTGATGCATCATGAGGTGCACAAAATGTTCCATGTCTTAGAGCATTTTGATTTCAGATCTACAGATTAAGGATGTCCAACTTGTAAGTGACATTGTTGTCACTCTTACTACGATTACCACTGTGTCCTATAAGTATGCCACTAGTGCGCGTATCCTGGTCATTAATATAAATGTCATGTCATGACAGTAGCTGAATCCTGCCAACCTCCCATCCTCTAGACTACCACTGTTTCAATAACCAGTACCTGGCTGTCTGATCCTACTATTACAAACCCCATATTCTCCATCTTGTCTTTGAGGGTATCTGCCACGTACTAGGCCATGTCATACCAGGCTCAGAGGACATGAATATAGTTGAAACAGTTCGTGGTCCTCACCAGGGTCCCAAAAGAAGCAAACAATGAAACAGGGTAATCCCTAGGAGACAGGTAGGCACAAAACCCACAAAAGGTGCCCTGCTGTAGTTCTGCAGTCTCCAGTTTAATTTCTCTAAATGCTCTAAAATAAAAACAGATTTTTAAGGTGGTTCTTTATAAGAACTTCATATTTCATGCCTTCAAGGTCTGCCGTGGCATTAAATTTCACCTCCCATTTTTTAAGTAGTAGTTGTTTTGCTAATTTGATGAAGATGTGTGAAAATTACTTATTTAAAGATATCTCTCATTCTAGTCTCTACTCAAGAGATTTTAAATTTTATTGGAGAGTCTTTGATCTTATTATTTTACCAGAAATGTAAGAGTGAACCTTGAGTACTGTGCATGGAACCAGTTCAGATGTTTGGTGCATGTCCCATTACTGAGCTTCTCTGGGCTGGCTGGCAGGGCTGCAGTCCCCACGGCACAGTAACCTTCCTCTTGGCACATTCTCTCAGACCCAAGGACTCTGTTTTCCTTTAAATGCTGGAAACAGTCTCTTTGGCTTTTAATTCATCACAAAGGTCCTGTTTGCCTTCTCCATGTTCTCATTCTTGTCCAGAGGTGCCACAGTAAATGAGCATGGGCATCAGAATAGTGAAACTGTTCAACCCACAGGGATCTGCTCAGTCTACTGAAAATTTTTCAGGAGTCCTGTGTTCTCCCTGTCTTACTCTCTTCAGAATGAGACTCACACTCAGGTCCTGCAGAATATAAGACCGACACACTGCCAGCTATGCTAAGACAGCAGCTCATACCTTTCCAAAATGAGATGGTACAGTTTGGGATTGTGTAGTCTCTCAAATTATCAACCAAAAACTTGCTTCTGTTAGTTCAGATAACCAAAGCGTTGGCCATATAAAGTTGCTTAACGTGCTTAGCTTCATCATAAACAGGTAAATTGCCAAACAGTTATCTTGCCAGCATCCAATAATCTCTCTGGATCCTGAGCTCCTGGAGACAGTTCAGAAATGCACTAAAGTAAATGTCAGCAACAAGGCCAGATCCTATTCTGCCATTCATTTTCCAAACTTGTCACCCTCTATTATTTTTGTCACACAAAGATCATGTGATTTGAAAGCCTATCAGTCTCTGCTTACAAAGTGAAGTTGTGTTTCTTTTTATTTGATTTGATTTGATTGATTGATTTTGGTACCAGCAATCGAACTCAGAACCTTGTGCTGGCCCAGCAGGCGCTCGTGCCGCTGAGCTATGTCCCTGGCGCTGTTTCTTCATTTTTAATTAACAATATTAGTTTTTAGATTTCAAGCTACATAACAGAGCTAATGTTACTGAACTTTACTTTCATAAGAAACACCAAAGACGCAGATAGATGGTACAGCCTTATTGTGAGCCTTACTGAAAATGTTCATAGGTGTATACTGCCTTTAGGGAATGCTGGTTGTGAACACTACGTAAAATGTTCAGACTCACAGTCTTGCAAAATTTTAGTCACCAGATTTCATCTTTTGCCTCACATGTGAAACAAGTCCATTTTCTTGAGCATTGAGGTGTCCCCCAGCCTGGCTTTTCTGCCTAGAAAATGCCATTTTGTAAAGAGCTATCATGCTTCATGTCCCTTGGTTTATGATTTAGCTGTTCAGGAAAAGTACAGGCTGCTGTTGCTCTCTCGGTTCTGATGATATGTGTTTTTGTTTTATTAAATCTTTAAAATACTGGGCTTGTTTTTTATGGCCTCCATATATTCTTTTGTTCTTCTCTTTGACTCGTTAGATCACATTTTTTTCTGCCCTTCGTAAAAATATTGGTGCCTTTCTGAAGAACATTGTGCTCTACAGCACGGCTGTATAACACAGTGGAGGAATGTGTTGAGCCTACTGTTCGTCTGCAGAGGCTGTGACTCAGGGGTGCCTCGCTGACGGCAAGGTCAGAGGCCTCTTAGATATGGTCCTGGCCAGGCTTGTATTGAGAACTCAGAGATCATTTGGTGCAAATCAGAGAGGTCTCCACAAAACAGAAGTGCCAGATAATGTGCATTCCAGATGTGGGCAGTTAGACTGAAACTTACTAAGAAACCTAGTAAGCAGAAGCAAGTTCTTGTCCAGGTGTGAACTTGTGTGCATTCAAGTACTGGGTCTCACACTCTGTGCATAAGTAGCGTGATTCTTCTGACCCTGGGGCAGCTCTTCCTGGAGATACTGAAGAAGAGAACACCTGCAGGCAGCTCTGAGCTCCTGGAGACTCTCACTGGGCCAGCGCTCCAAGTCTTCTTGTCAGACCCAGCTCCCGTGTTCCCAACAACAGGTTCAGGTGATGAGTTGCCATTTCTTAGCTCTGCCCCTGCACACAGGAGCCTCAGAATCTTGAGTAGAGCTTGGCTGCTCTACTGATGTGAATCCCCGAATAAACCAGCCCATGACATCCAACTGAACTTTTTCACGTGCATACAGTATCTCACAGGCCATCCTGTACTGTTAGCTTTGGCAAGTACACTACAGCATATAATAAATCACGGAAGGAAAAAGCTTTTGGCCTATCATGGTTCAGGCTGCTGTAATGTTAGAATACAGAAAGCAGTTCTGTTTTTAGACATCCTTTTACTAACCAAACATTCATAATTTATGATTTCACTGTAAAATTCCTGCAACACTACACCAAAAGTAGTACTGCCCTTTAATTAAGTGCTCTCGGTAGGAAAAACATGGAACTGATGTGCCAAGCTTCTCTCTGTGCACGGTGATTGATAGTGATTACATCTTTATGAACCCAGCCTAAAGGTCTCTACTTCCTGATGGGTGAAGTAGTGTGTAGGGCCACTTCCTGAGTCTGCCTGACGGGGATCAGGCGCTGCTAACAAAATTGGAGATAATTCGAAGGCACAAGTTAGAAATACTGAGTTTTTAAGCCTTCACCCATCTGTACTTTGTCACTAGTCTACCTTACTTTGTTCCTTTTTCCTCTGAGAACCGATGACCAGATTTCATGCAGTCCCCACACCCGGTTATAATGCAGAGAGTAAAGTACTACCTGAAGGTCCCTTTAAGGAACTCTAGTTTGTCATATGGATAATTTTTAAGATTGGAGACAAATGGATGACAGGAGATAATTATGGCCCTATCAGTACATGAGTATAGAACATTGTAGCCAGAGAGGATGTGAAGCTGTTCTATTAAAAAAATTAAGACATTCTTTTTTTGACTTGCATTGCAAGTAGGCAAGTTTAATTTTTAGAATAATACCTCTATTAAGAGACTAAAATCCCAACCCAGGTATCTTGGGCTCATCATTGTTTCTGCTGCTGTTTGATCTTTCATCAACTAAGTAGTCAAGTCAAGTCCAGCTTCTAACACCTTGCTGACAGGTAATGTGGGTAGATTTACTGTACCTGAAATTCTTCAGGTTCCTGGAAAAAAAAGGGAACAGATCCATTGCAAGTGGCAACACCTGTATTAAATGAGTTCTTTATTTTCTTTGCCTGCTTTCATTATAACGATAGCAATGAAATCAAAAATAGTCATCTCCTCCATGCCTCTAAGGTGACATTTTTCTGGAGCTCTGTTGATGCTATGTGTGTATGTTTTTCTCTGATGTTTTTGCAGATTTGGGCCAGGCTTAGTCATCTATTGGTATGGATTTATCCAGGAGCTGGACTGCAACCGGGAGAGGGGCATCCTGCTCAAAGCCTGTTTTCCCACAGACATTATCACCTTGTGCCATAGCACCGCTTGACCCCACAGATCCTGGAAGAGAAGTTGGGCGGAAGAGGTGAATCCGGAAGCAATTTACTTTCCTGCAGTGTAAACTCCTGGCAACATCTGCCCTGAACTTCAGCTGAACTCTTACTGCATGGCCACGCCACTACCTCTCTAGACAAACATATCAAGAGTTTCTGTTTTCCTTCATCCCTTGCTGATGCAAGCAGCCAAGAACTACAGACACAACCCACTCATTATCAGCATCTCTGTCTCTGTCAAACAGTTAGTTTATAGATAGTCATAATCTTTTTTCCTTCCAGATGGTTTCTTCTTGTACAGTGAACAAAGGAAAAAACGTGGAGACTGAAAGGTGTGATTTTTCAATTCTCCCAGCCACCTTATTTTTTTCCCCTAAGCCTCCATTCATCGTCTCTCCTTCCCCCTTTCCTTTCATACATGTTTCCAGATCCCCAATAATATTGTCATCGTGGAATAACCTAGAACAAACCTAGAAAAACTGAAGGTGGGAAGCTAGACAGATGTTCCCTCTCCCCTGCGGGGCTTCAGCATCCCTGGACCGCAGCCTGCACTGCTCCCCAGCCCTGTGCAGCCTGCAGTTTCCTGGTTTCTGTGGCACAGGGCCAAACTGCAAAAATACACTTGATGAGAATTTCCGCTTTTGATAAGGCTTATTTGAACACCAAACATTTTACATTTATATCATTTAAAAGTATTAGTTATGTCTGGAAATCACACTTTGGCCTAGGGGTAAGAGAAAGGATTGAAACTAATGGCCCATGCTGTCTAGAGTTTATCTTTAAACATGATTAGTTGTCAGTACCATGCTAGCCAGTATTTTTGTGAATAAAAAAGCACATTCTGTAGTATACTGCTTTTTGTATCTGCATTTTATAGTGCATAATTATACAACACTCAAGTAATTTAGACATTAGAAATGTTTGGCTTTGAATGAATGAATTAAATGTACCAAAAATAAACCTAGCTAGATTTTTACATAAGCAAAATAAAGTAGACTTTATATTTGTTCACATTAATTTATTCACTTCTACGTACTATAGACCAGACTTCAATCTAAAGGAAAACATCAATAAATAATAAATATATCTTTTGAGAAATTGACAGTTCCGTAGTTCAAAAAACGTATTTAGGAAAATATTTGCCTCTGTGCTTATGAAACATAACTTTTTATATTGTCAAATGGATGATCTTGGAAATATTAATAAAAACGTAACTTTTGCAAACACTGTGTTACACAGATTACTTGATTCTTTCAAAAGACTAAATTTGTCTTTGCTACTTTGTTTTATACCTAAGAAAGTTTGTAAAATTCTGCTTGTTCTTCCTGTGTGTGTGTGTGTGTGTGTGTGTGTGTGAGTTTGTGTGTGTGGTTGTTTGTGTGTTTTTTGAGACAAGGTCTCACTCTGTAATTCAGGCTGACCGTGAAATCACCATGTGCCCCAGGCTGGCCTGAAACTTGAGGTGATGCTCCTCTCTGTCTCCTGAGTGCTGGGATTACAGGGATGCACCACCCCAGCTGGCTGTTCTTCCTTTCAAAGGACATAAACGTATTGAGTCCAAAATACGATTTTAACTCTGAAGTGAGGCTACATTAAATCACAGGGGAGAAGAAGAAAATGAAATGATAAAGGGGTTTCAGGCAAACTTCTGCTTTCATTGTGAAATTCATTATGCAGGTTTTGTAAGTGAGATAGAAGGATTTGAAACTACTAATTTATTGCCTTGATACATGCACATGTTAAACAAAAATGTTCGTAAGAGCAGGTTTCATGTCATGCTTGAAACTGCTTTTTTCCCCCTTAGGAAAAAATTACATTTATCTGCACAGATGTTGAAAATCCTGTTAAACCCCTGTCAAGGATTTGTTTGTTTTACATTAAACAAATTTATGATGAGTAGGCATAAATAAATTTAAAAAATAAAAAAGGTGCTTGGATTTTGTATTTATTCTTCTACTTGGAGCTCTGACATAATGTGTTGTGAGAAGGTAGTGGTATTCCCTGGCAAAGACACCTCCAATTTATGAATAAGGCCTTACAATTTGGCCTTTCAAAGTGAGAAAGAAACCAGGCATAAACTGCACATGATGTGATAAGGTTACAAGTGACTCAAAAGTAAGCTTTTTCCCACACAAAAACTAACGTGATTATTGTATCGATCACATTTGAATTGGACGGATGCTGGAGATAGGGAGGAATATTTCTAAACTGGAAGTTGAAAGCCTCTTTTTATTTTCTTTTATGTTAAAAATACCTATCTGTGTTTCATCTTTATAGATTGTTTGCTTGTTTGGTTCTTTGTTGTTGTTTGGGTTTTTGGTCTGGATAATTCAAGCATAACCTTGGAAAATAGACATGGGGTGACAGCTTTCGTTTTTATTGCTGGTGTCATTAGAACATTAACATAAAAGCCAAATCTTGTTTTATGGAACATTCTGCATACTCTGCTCATGAATTACGCAAACAGAAGAAGCACAGAGCAGTGTGTATAAAACGTAACCCAAAATGATGTTCTCTTCTGCATGCAGAGAGTGACTACGCATCTGCTCTCAACACACGTGACACCCATTGGAAGTATATATAGGCAAGGATTGGCTCACAGCAGAGCTGATCCAATCCTGACACTTAGGGTGACTTCACAGACTTTCCCACCATCCTCGCCTCCTCCCCCAGAAAACCATAAGCAATTGAGGATCTTCTTGCTTGCTCCTATAATCACATGTAAAAGGTAAGGTTCAGGGGTCAAAAGTAGAAAGTGGACCTCCAGGGGGAAATAATTTTCTTTTAACCATAGGTGTGTGTACCTGCTCATTATCTGCAAGGCTTGATGTCACCCTGGAAGAGATGATCAATTGTTGGTCTGTGGGGGATACCTTAATCATGTGAGCCACCAGAGGATAGCTGAGAGCGCTGATGAGGTAATCTACTAAATGGTCCTTGGTGGGCCCCCCTAATTAATGTACAGTGCCAAAGTGAACAGTTAATTCATTCGCCTCCAACTGCAGAGAGCTGCACCTATTGTTTCCTCTTTGAAACCAAGATACCTTAGCTGTTTGCTCTTTTTAACCTGCTCCCGTCACCAGACCTGGTGTTTCAACTGAGCTAAACCTTCATTGCATTCCTGTTCTTGCCTCAACTGTTCTTTCTTCCTGGTCCTCTTCCCCTTCACTAGCCTCTGCCAGTCTCCTTCCACATGGATGTGCACAGTGCATTTCTCGCTTCCCTTTGGCTCTTTTTCTCACTAGAAAATGACCCAAGGACCAAAATATATATCATCTGAATCCTGATGCGTATGTTGAGGGGATGGGGAGCAATTGTCCTAATCTCTTTGGGAATAAGCAAAACCCAGGCATCTTTCATGTGCCAAGATTTTCAAATGCGTATGTGGCACCTGTAGAATCATAAAACTTTTAACTAAGGCCATAAGATTTTACAGGGTTAAATATAGTATGAGGTTTATGCCTTCAGTAAATGTTATGGTACAAGGAACCAACAAAATGTGTAAAAATTTTATAACTTCTGTTCAGCCTATGTGATGCTATTCAGCTAGTTAAAATTATGAATTAAAATAATGTCTATGATTTAGAGAATTTCTCAGCCTGTGTATCAGGAAAGCAGCTTTCCACTGTCCACATGATCTGATGGGCTAGATTACCTCAGAGTAACTATTTTGTGACAAGGAAAGTCACGAAAAAGAGAAAAAATTCCCAGTGGGCACTTTTTATTTGAAAGGGCAGGGGGCTAGGGTTAAGGAACAACGCAAACTAAAAGGGAAACAGTGAGGATTTGCCTGCAGTTTCCCCCCTTATAGAAAAATGCCCATCTGAACCTGTCTGAGAGACTTCTCAGTTAAGGGAGGCCTCCGTGTGACAGAATTTGGGTCATTTTATGTAGAATTGAAAACCTTCCTATGCGTAGTAAAAATGGTCTGAACCCATTTTATTAAGAATGTGCCTGGATTCCAAAGATTAAATAAGGAAGATAGAATTATGAATTAAATAATAACCAGCTTGGGTTCCCCTTGTGTTTTTTACCTTCCTGCTATTGTTCTGAATAAGGCTGTGGGACAAAGAGCCGCTTAGGTCAAGCACTATAAATTACAATTTTCATACAATAGCAATCCACTAAAATGATTTCAAAGTCTGATCAAAGTACTTCAAAAAGACTTCTAAAACTTTTCCACCGTGCAGGGGTGGGGAGAGGCTCATTTGATGCCTTAGTTTGTTTTGGTATAGCAAAGCTCAATCTTGATGTCCTGCCTACGTTATATGAACCCAACTCACTATTGAATAAATTCAGCTTGCTTTCATTGTTTCATGTGTTAGAGAAAGAGATTTAAGTTTTCATCCAGTGACCTAGGACAACTACACATTAGGAGTTACTTTAATATTAAGAAAAGATACATATAGAGCAGCATTTTAAAATAAGCATAACTTATTGATTAAATATGACAGGATTGTGTTCCAGCTTTTATTAAAGCTATCTAACCCTTGCGCTTAAAATAAAGCAGAGCTTATTTACTTAGCGTTGTAATAATAACCATGTCAATAGCTGCTTTTAGTTTTCAGCCTTTTTCCCTCACTTGGATTTATCTGGAGCTGTCTCTTGTCAGGCAAGGATGATGGAAGCACCCTAGCAATCACAATGCTACGCAAATTCCGGGCTCACCACATATAAAGTTAGTGTGGACGACAGCAGCAACAGTGTCAGGCTCAGAGAAGAACCCCATGGTACGCTGTCAGGGTACTTTTTATTTTTTAAAAGGCAGGTCATTTTGAAATGCTGACATGAAATATAACCAAGTCAATTAAGTAATAACAATTGAAGTTCAGAGTTTAATTGAGGGCCAAACATGAAGCTGATGACCATTAACCTAAAACAGTCATTAATTCCCCTGGAAACTGCCTTGGTTAAAGGCATCTCTGGACTAACTGGCACTTTTTTCTTTGAAAAATGCGTTTTGTCATTTTTACATTCAGCACAAATGCGTTCGGAAATAACTTAGTGTTTCTATAGTAGACTTTCTGTATTTTTTTAGTTTCAACTGAGATTTTTGTAGGACAAATCAAGATGTAGATAAAAACCGCCATTTTCTGTATAAATCATGGTGTTTTAAGTAAACTGAAAGATGCACATTCAATGAAGAATACTTAGTATTTATCGTAACTGGGACTTCTTTTTGTACTGGTTTGATGCAAGATTTTTGATTAGATTATAAACTCAGTAAGAGTAGAAACCACACTTCATTTACTTCTCTTGTTTCGTAGTAGCTAACAGAATTCCTACTATGGAGCAGGTGTTCCATACATGCTAAATAAATAAATAATTATTAAATTTATATTAAAAATGTTCTTACTAGCTTGCATTAAGCAAATTGGAACCTTCAGTTCCCATTTTCTTCAGCTTCAAAAATAGGTGTATTTTCTGGAACCAAAGAAAAGTATCCTAATTGCTGGGGTTAATTAAAGAATTAATCACTTTAGAAACCATCAAAATCTGAAATAAAGCAAATTTATGGAGAATATTTTAGGATGCATATTTAGTTTTAAGAAGAGTTTACCTGACCATGTTGCATTTGCTTTAAAATTAGCCTTAGAGCATTATTTATCCACTAAATTGCTAAATGACAACCTTAAAAATCTGATCTTTCTTCACAGGCTTATCTTTATCCTTACATTTCTCTTTAAAAACAGTTTACCTTAAAACCATGTGAGGCCCAAATCAAAGTGTTCCGCTCTCACGTTTTGAGGGTGTTCAGCGGGACTACGAGATTGATGGCAAAAGATCCTTCTCATTGCTCGCTTTCGTGATGCTAAAATGATGGCAAGGATTTCGTGGCCAGAGAAGTGGTTGGTGGCTTAGGAGAGAGGGTTCTTTGGTCATTTGCCGACAGGATCTGACCTTTGGAGGGACACTGCTCTTGCACTTCTCAGTGGGTGTTTCCCTTGTTAATCATTAGCTCACACTATATTATCATTTGAAAGCTAAGGCATTTGACATATTTCCTCCTATTTTGGAAACTTGTAATACAAAAGGTGCTGGAGCTTTCACATTTCTTCTTTGCAGGTTTCCCGGGGATTCACCTCTTGGGGCCCTTTCTCATGTATGATTTCCTCTTTAAAAATCTGCAGAGAAATGACTGCAATAAAGGTATCTGTGAGACCCGTATCTTCTTTGACTCCATGTGATAATTCTGTCTTTTTGTAACTTTAAGGCTACTTAAG